TTGGATACCAAAATGATGTATACTAGGTAGGGAGAGGAACTGCAGCAGTGCAGCTAATATTTTACTATTGCAGGTTCTTACTGCTCTTTTTATTGTCAAGTAGGAATTCTGTGAATCATGCTGATTTTAATAGAGTGGATATGGATGGCAGAATCTGTACCTATATTTCCTGACTATTTATTTTCTGCATCTTTCTTTTGCTGGACCAGCAAAAAGTCAATTTCCTTTTATGTGACATTAATTAACCATTAAGTTGTGACTAGTTCAGGAAAAGAAATAAAACCCAATTGTTCTTTTTTCCTAAGCTTGATTAAAAACTCGCTTTAAAAAAAATCTAAATTTTAGTCCAAACTTGAGAATATGCTATTCTTTTATATTTTATTTATAACTATTTTATGACTGACAGGGTTAGGAAAGCATATAACAAATTCTTAGATAAGCCTTCAAGGTTACTTCACATTAGACATGATAGGTAGGAAAAAATACAGGCAGAAGTCAGTTTTTCTTATCTTCTGTATAAACAAGCTGGTATTTCATTCAAGGCCTTTTCCTTAACTTTCAGCATACCAGATTGCTATCAGGCAGTCACAGGGAGAGACATGCAAACATGTTGTTGTTGACTATTTGTCTACTGAATTTATTAATTGGTTTCTAAGGAAATCAGGCTCCTGCATTCATTCCATCTTTGTGCTTGCCTGACATTCCTTGCCTTTCTCCCCTTCACAATAATTTGTGACTTAGCTGGCCAATATCAATCACTTGATGAAAAGCTGGAGGTTTGCAAAGATAGTAAGTTTCTATTTTTACAAAACTCATAGGTGATGGGTAGAGGAGGGAATGCCCTGTTTGTGGAGCTGTCCACCCCACGGCGAGGGAAAAGCAAGGGAAACTCTGTCCTTAGCTGCTGGGTTTGGGACCACGCTGCAGACCGACCTGCAGCCTTCTCCTGCCAGCTAAACACCGGGTCGTGATGCAGACACAGGATACTCCTAACTCTGTGGGGTAACACCAGGATGGGCCAAAGCACGGTGAGATACCAGTGATGTGGAGGGGTTGTACAGAGCACAGGGGGCATGCCTGGGGGTCCATGCGGGCAGTAAGGATATTGCGGGTTTTGGCATGCCAAGGGGGTGAATGGAGCTACTGTGGAATGACAGAGAGGACACTGAGGTAGAGAGTACTGAGGACCCCGCGAAAGGACTGGGGGGCTACTGTGGTGAAAGGGTAGAAGCACACGGGGAAAAGAGCTAGGCTGTGAAAAGCACCACGGACATGACGAAGGACTAGGGCTATCTTGTTTGGAGAGTGTAAGGTGTTTGTGACATGTATCTCTTGGAAAACATGTACTATTAATGCTGCTGTTTTCTAGTAGCGCCGTGTATTAGTTACAGCGCATCCTGTTTAAATGAGCCTGACCGAATACCTTCTGAAGTAAACGCTGCTTTTATTTGCTACCAAATAAGGCTAGATAAGGCCCCTACTATAACATACATAATTTATTTGCATGATGTTTATGAATGACTTTGAAGTATGTATTTGGAATTTAAATCTTACCATTAGTAATACCTGTTAGAAACTCAGACATGAGATTCTCAAGTAATTTTTATCCTTCTCAGGTTTATTATGAATTATGTGCAACTGAGGCAGGGTTGATATCTTGCAACTTTTTTGTTCATATATTTAGGGACTTGGGGACTGTCTTAGTTTGTGGTTATACAGCACCTAATACTTGTCCATGCCATCATGATTGCTGATTCCATTGCAGCGTAAGTAATTATAATATAAATTTTTTTATCTGTTTACAAAACTACATTATAATATAAAATAATTATAGTACTCAAAAACTAAGTACGGTCTTCATCCATCCTTTGGTCTAAGGAATTATATTTGATGTTGATGCCAGTTCTGCAGAGAAGGGAGTCCTAATGCATGCTGATAAATTGGCGAAGGGGATGAAATACTTTAGAAAAAAAAAAAAGAGTAATTCAGTTAGTTTTCTCCTAAGTTTTCTCCTAATTTTTAAGATTAGGCTACATTAAGCCTTTTCTTACTCACCTTCCTTCTTAGCAGTGTTATATAGTTCCACTGTTGGAAGAAATCATGGGAAAACTCATGTAGATTGTCTGCAACTTCCTCATCTCCATGTTGTCTAGACACCAGCAATCTCATAGTATATTCATGCCTCCAGAACATCTAGACTTCCCTTGACTGGAAAGCCTCGATGAGGTAGTAGAACAGAGGGAGTCTGTTTTCCCTTTCAAAGTTCCTTCTTTGCTGGTGGCCAGGTACAGTATTGTACTGAATACCAGATCAGGGTTATATTTCACAGCACGGTTCCCAAATTCATGTTGCAGGGGAAAGGTGAGATGGTGTTATTTATTCCAGTATCATGGACTAAAAATACAATTTGAAATTGTAAGAGATGCATAAAGTGATCTTGAAAATGCTATGGTATATATGTTATGTTCTTAATGGTATTTTATTTTCAGCATAATTGCACTTAGAAAGCATTCTGGCAGTTGAATAAGGCAAAACTGAAACTGAACTGAACTTTTTCTGGCATCTTGGGTTTTTTCACACTTTTCTTCAGTGGCATAGATGGAGGATACTCCTGCCCACTTCTTCCTCAATTATCAGGTTGTCAGGGTATTTTCCGGGAGTGGAGATTGTGGTATTAAATCGTTTTGAATGAAGAGAGCGAATATCTAAATCTGTTATTCTTGGACAAATTTTCTTTAGACTTGTTCTCGTCAACTGTTGTTAAAAGGGGAGGGAAGAGCAGCAGATTATGCTGTTTAGCCTAACTTTTTCCAGAGAAAGAAATATATGTGTGAATGGGGAGAGGGAGCACTTCTTGGTTCCCTTTCTTTGTCTTGCTGTTACAACTATAATATAGTACCTGTATTTTTTCTGAGACTCCTTTTCCTTGCTTGAATGTATAGTTTATTGCAGCTTTGGCTTGAGCGGGGGAGCTGGAAAAAACCTGCCTCCTCTGAAATAACCTGAACAAAATATTGCCTTAAAGATTTGTGTTAAAGGATGTGGAGACAGCCTCTGCATTCCAGGAGTATCACAGCCAAACAGGGGTGTCAGGCTACCCTTCATTAGGTGAAACTGGTGAAATGTAAATAATAATTGGTCAGTGGGTATAGCCGAATAGCCTGTAAAACAAAGTTGGACACTAGCCACATGGCATCTTCTACCTGCCTGACCTCACTTGTCCTAGAACTGGGGGATGGGAAGTCTTGCAGGGTTCCTCCCCACTACTTTCTAATGCACTCATACTGCACTGCATCTGAGGCATCTGCTGGCTCCTTCTCCTGGGTGGTTTTTTTTGGCATCTCCTACAAACAGTTGTCTATGGTATGGACACATCTGGCAGTACTGCTGGTGAGCCACTCTGGCTTGTGGGATGATACTTGGAAGAGCTCTGCATTAATCTGTTGTGCAAAGGAAGATGTTCTACTGCAGTTTTTCCATGACTCAGAAAAACAAAGAAACCTAAAAGGTCATATGGTGGTGTGTGATTTGTTTTATGGGTTCATTCAATATTGCCATTGTGCATTTAGCCCGACCACAGTGAGTCAACTGGACTGGATTGACTCAGCCAAAGTGGAGACCTGCACAACAGCAGGACTTCAGTCATTCAATATTCCCTTGCTAATGCACATCGGAGAGATGAAATTAGGTATGGAGTGCAGATTTTCTTTAGGGGGGAGTGCTGTTATACTTGCACATCTAAAATCAGTTTAAAGGGGAACTTGGGCACCTCAGTATTTTTATGGATCTTGCCTAAAAGTGTTTTACTACCTTGAACTTCCATTAGTTAGGCAAATAAACCTACTTTCAGGAAAGGATACAGAAATTGGCTTGAACATTTAAGCTGTTTTTGTATTGACTTGGCTGGGCCTACTTGGATGCTTTCTCAGTATCTTAAATTGCTACATAAACAGCAGAAAGTCAGAAGTTGTGGAGAAATTGCAGATAACTGTCACATGGTACTCGGTGGCCTAAAATCTGCTGCTTGAATAATTATGTGACGGCTTCCTGTGGCTTTGCAGGGTAACTTGTATACTTTGGCATTAAAAAGCCAAGCGCCAAGTGCTAGCGTTTTTCACCTCAAAGCTGCCCTGCGTCAGCCGAGCCAGCTGCGGAGAGCAGCTCCCCCGTCCTGCCATGACTAACTGCAGACTTCCTCTCTGCCGTGCTCTGGAGCCAGTTGTCCGTGAAGAGGTTTAACTCTTCAAGGAGGGGCTGGATGCAGCCCGGCAGCGAGCGCGGCTGTCCCTTGGCTGCTGCAGACAGGCGGATGAAAGGCGCAGGCCGCCCGGCAGCGCTGCCCCGGGGCGACGGGGCCCGCGGGCGGCAGCGGGGGAAGAGCCGCCCTCAGCCTCCGCCCCAGGCCGCGGCTCTGCCCCAGGCCTAGCCCTTGCCCGACGGCCCAGCTCCGAGAGCCGGAGGATGAGGTCAGCGTGTGGGGGAGGGACGGCTGTCCTCCGTCCCGGCGGCGCCTCAGGGCCCCGGGTCTCTGTTTCTTCGCCGCCCGGTTTGCCCCGCCGGGCCAGGCCGCTCCGGTCGCCCCTCCTGCAGGAACGGGTAGGGCAGGTTGGTCGGGAGGACTACACCTCCCGGCGTGCCCCGCGGGCCGGATGCCGGGGGTCCCCGCGGTGACGCGCGGGAGGGGCGTGGCCAAAGAGGGCGTGGCTAACGGGGAGGGGGCGGGGCCCTCC